GAATCCTAATTATGGGAATAAAGTACATGGACATACAAATAAGCAAAATTATTCTTCATATAAATGACACCAAATGTGCACAGTTTACTCCTTTGCCAGGCAGAAACTGAAAACTACAAACATTTAAATGTTCTAGCTGCCGTCCCTAAAAATATATTGACAATATTAGGGAAAAAAATGCCTTTAAAAAACCCCTGACGAGGAAGTAGCATAAATGAATTCATCTGTAGTTAGTGGACTAGACACCTCCAAAGGCACAGTGGGATATAACAATATATAACTTTATATGAATATGGAAATCAGATGCCTGGGTTATAAAAGAGTATGTTTGTGTAATGAACCCTTTGACATTTCTCAACATTGCCCTGTTTATTGTGGCCACCTTTGCTCTAGAGCTGCGATTTTACCAGGCCAGGGTGCCTAAGAGTATTGAATAACTCACAGGGCTTTGATGTGCAAGAATGCTTCTTTAACTGTAGCAGTAAAGAATGTGGGTTCTGCTTCTTGTGTTCTTCTTAACTGGGGCTGTAACTACTTGTAATAACTTAGACATATCAGAGCAAGGATAACCTCAACAAAAAGTGCTAAATATTAATTAAACTTCCATCTTAATCCAATCCAGCAGTCGATTGTGAGGAAATTATTCTTGTAACTGCGAGACAGAAAAATTTCTAATTCTAAAAGTAGGATAAACACCACATTTTGTTCACTCCCAGCAGAGGTGGACACACATAAATGGCCTATTGGGAACGGCCTCAGGAATATCTTGCTTGCTCAGCCGTGACCTTTTGGACTGTCTTTGGAGGCAACTCACCAGTCAGCTCTCTGAGACACGAATCACAACATGACTCAGACCTGTCACTTCTTTTCATCTCCCTTCCTCTCCACCAGCTGCTGGAAGAATTAAATGCAGATAGCAGATAAGTACAAATCTGTTAGCATCCCAGTCCCACCCCGTTTTTACACAGGGAGCAGTGCTGGATGATTAATCTAATGCTGTTTGGGACAGACTGCAAATCAGAGAGCTGCAAAGACCCCGGTTGTTACAGCAGGGCTGGAGTGGCACCGTCCTGTGGTGTCCAGGCAAGGATGAGCAATGCTGACCACTGATCAAAACATCCACACCAGACAGTCTGAGGTGGGCACTTAGAGATGTCCTGTCTGATGACCAGGAACACTGGGCCAAGGGAATTGTTGTGGGGAAATCATACAGGAGAACCAACAGTTTGTTTTACTGCTTTCCTTTCTGTCAAGATTGCTAAAGGTCTTTGGCACAGTACTGTCACAAATCATTTTTTGCCTGGTTGGTTTAGGAACAGGAAGAATTTCCTGAGCAATCTTCTTGTCCTTGACTAAATGCCCACAAGCAAAAGTACATGAAAGACACACTTCAAGTCATAAATTAAACTGAAGACCAGGATTTCATATGGTATCAATATTCAGCCCACCTTCACACGTACCCTAGTGGGACTGCCCGTTTGCTGAGGGCTTAATTTCTGTTAAAAAATCAGTACTAATGTCTCTCAGCAGCACCTCTTAGATGAACAGGATTATACAGCTCAGCCTGTGTGCTCAGAGTACTAAACACAGACTACTTTGGGTCAGACTTCTGAGAAAAAAACCTAAAACCTAAGGTGAAAACGGCACAAGGGAGCCTGCACACAGTGGAGAGAAGACAAACTATGCAAAGTTGACTAATATACAGCTGGGGGAATTATATGGAGCATTTCCATCCCATCCCTCTTCTCTGAAAATAAAAGTCAAACTTGACATTTTGCTGGACAGAGTAGGGACAGGGGAAGTGTACTGGGAGCACACCAATAATTCATATTTACCGTGGTAAGAGAACAAGAAGAAGATGAGCTATGCAGCTCTTTATGTCCAAGGAAGGAAATTCTGGCTACAAAAGGAGATTTTGAAGCATTTGCAAGACAAATGAATTGAGCAAGTGGATTCTGTGGCTCTGTGGTGCTGAGGAAAAGCAAAGATGGGCTGTCAGGAGGGGTCCAGCCCAAGGTGGCAGGAGGAGCTGGGAAGCCAAATCCAGTGACATCTGGAAAGGACAATATAATCATATGAGAAAGCCCAGGAGGGCAGAACTGTAAGAAATGAAAATTTAAAGAAAAGCTATAGGGTTTTTAAAATGTTGATTTAAACCCAGGGTATAATCCCACACAGCTGACACTGCTGGTTTCAAATAAACAACCAGACTAAGCTCACCATGCCCCCATCATAGCAGAGGACCCAAAAGTAGGGCTTCCTCTCATTTCAGTGAATGGTGCTTCTGTTTCTCACCAAGTGAAAAACACAGCCTGACTGAAAGATTCCTTTGCAAATGCTATCATTATTTCAAATCCCCTGGGTCAAATTCTTTTTGAATGCGAGTAAATACCGAGTAATAACAATTTACAGTGATCCTGTAGGAAATAGTAAAGGAAAAGGGGTTTAGCTATAACCTGTAAAGGCAGGGTTTTTTCACAACATCAGAGAAAAGCTATAGCTGCAGAAAGGTTTTTAAAGATTCTCGTAGCCACAACATGAAAACTACTTCTCTATAGCATTCAAACCCTTCCACTGTACTATTAAAGATAATACCACATAAATACAACTTAATCCAGGCATCCAAACTGCCTTCTGCAACATATGTATGATCTTTCCATTTTTATACACAACAAATCTGATAAACAGAGATTATATAAAAAGAAGGCACTAAAGTATTACAGCATGAGTATAGCACAGACTAGTTTCCTTCTTTTCAAGTAATCCCAACTTATGCGGCCAAAGGAGTCTAATAATGAAAAAAACCTTGACTTCCTTCAGGAAACAGAAAACTATTCATATTAAAAAATAGCATATTTTACTTTGCACTCGATATTTCTAAATGTTTAATATTCTAAAAGCTCTGTATCACAACAGAGACCAAATTTCTTCTTTATTTTGCCTTTTTCCTGTTTTTGTTTTAAATATGCTGCCACTATCTCTGTTCTCAACAGCTCTGCCAGCCTGAAAAAGAAAAATGGAGAAGATAAGGAGGAACAGAAATAGAAATATCTGTTAGGATTAGGAGTACAAACAAAATGTAAGAAGTATTTAGGACAAAATTACCACAGATAACAAAACTCTTGGATGCCCATCCCTCTGGGAGATGGGCACAGGGAGAAGCAGAGCATGCAGATGTTGGTGCTGCAGCCAGAAAACATGATCCACAGGGGCAACAGAAAGAGAAAATTTGTGAGAAAAGAGCTGTAAAGACCTGTATTCACACTTAGAGAAGTGTGATTCAGATGCTGACAGCCACTTGAAAGACAATCCTGAAGAACAGCACCGGCTTCCTTGTGAAGGCTTTCTGTCAAAGTTTCAAGTGCTTTGTTTGTTCCTCTAAGCAACTGGATCACCCTGAGAAACACAGACCATACAAATACATTTACTGAGTGAATGTCCTGCAACATAAAAATAATTGAAGTAATAATCCTTTGCTCCTCTAAATAGCTATCCTGTGTGTTTCTTGCATGTAATTAAACCCAAGGAAATAATGCTGATTATCTGGCTGCAGGATGTCATGCTGAAAGGACTGGAACAGGGAGAGGTGACATGCAATTCCAACAGGACAAGACTGTGCAGAGGCACCCTGCTAGTGCAACCACTGCAAAAAACCTGGCACTGAGGGGGTGGCTGTCACCATACACAGGCAGGAGCAGCAAAATGAAGGCTCTTAGGTAGGGAAGGGTCTGCAGCACAAAGCTATTTCACTAACCTTGCAAAGCTGCCATCACAATTGTTCTCACAGAGCCATGTGAGTTCTCTCACGAAAGTTTTCTAGCAACTTTCCAGTTTGTTTATAACACAAAGTGATTACAAACAAGTGAGTGTGTATAAGTAGTGGAAAATCTCATCAGCAGTTGGGTCCAGATGTCCAGAACAAGCACCAACAAGAGCCATAACAGAGTCCTGTGGCCATCTGTGAGGGGCATTAGGGAGGAAGGAACAGGTCCCTGAAGCTTTGTGTAGTGGCTTCAGGGGAAATTTCACCTCATTTTTCCTGACTTTCTTCAAGGAGCTGGAGAAAGTGCCACAACATGTCACGTGTGCAGGCAGCAAAGCACAGGAGGAGCTTTGGATGTGGAGTCCATGTGATGGCTTAATGGAGTGCAGGGTGTGAGATGGAAGCACTGTCGCTCTGTTAGTGGCTGCATGGTTATTTCCAGGCTTTGCTGGACTGTTCTGAGAGGCCACAACCATTCCCAAGGCCCTTGCAGGGAGTCCAAACAAGGCTGGAAGGAAATACCACTCAGTCCAAAGCCCAGGAGGCACATGCAGCTTCTTCACCACAGAAAATTGCATTCATCTACCCAGGACACACAATTGCTGTGTAACAAGTGTTGTGCCAACCTCAGTGCTTGGACACAGGGTCTTAGGGATTGTCCCTTCACCACCATCAGGTGCCCTGTTCTTCGTGGCACTTGGTGTTCACCAGACAGCTCTGAGCAAGGTGGAGAAAGGTCAGGAACTCTACAACCCAGACAACCATCACGATAGGGCAATACGCTTCTCTTTGGAAATGGGATGTTAAGTAGTGCTCCCTGCTCTCACAGCATTGCCATCTGGTGAGTAAAGGCCAGGGTTTGCTCTCATTATCTCTCTCCATCTGCACAAACCAGGACCAACAAAATTTCCTATGGAGCCACTTCAACCAGAACAGCTGTGTGTGCTCTGTCTGGAAATTAAAGGCTGAGAAAGGGGCTCCACTTGGTATCGTGGAAGATGTGGGTTTCACTCATCACACACTCAAATCTAAATTCCTCCAGGGCTTTTCTGAGTGCCAGAGCAAGCCCCTGAAGAGAGAGATTTACACCAGTGTGCTGATGCCAGAATCAAACCCCAGATTTACTACTCGCTAGCTCAGAGCAGAAATGCTAAAGTACCACTCGATCCCTCCTCCTCCTCCTCCTCCTCCTGGACGAATCTCTATCCTCTGGTGTATGAAAAATGCATTTCACCGCTCCACATAATAATTCTTGTTGGGACTGAGCCGTGACGCCTCCCCCCAGTCCGGCCGAGCCGCCCGTGTGCTGCAGTGGTCGCCGAGGTCTGCCGAGGACGGTGGCGGCGGCAGCAGCAGCAGCACCAGCAGCTGTCCCTGTCCCTGCCGCCCGCTGAGTTCTCCTGCCCATCCTACGGGAGCGGAGGACAGCGAGTCTCGCAGCCTGCAGGTGTCTCCCGGCGGAGGAGGCTGCGGAGCCCCTTGGGATCATGTGTGGTACCCGAGCAGATGTTCACTTGCTCCTGGTGCTCTGTGCGAGGCAGACCCTCTGCGATCCCCTCAGCGCTCTGAAGCTCCCCGGCTCCGAGAGGACGGCCACGCTCCCGCTCCTGCAGCTGCTCCTTTAACGTACAAAGGCAGGATTTCAAGTGAAGGGAAGAATGGGAGTCTGGCTGCAGCGTTTCCTTCACCGCTACAACAGCAGACTGGAAGAAGCTGAGAGTTTTGGTGCCTGGACAACTGGATTCTGAATCGTGAGAGGCTTTGAAACCCCCCCCTCTCCCAAATAAAACAAACCCCTTTGACTTCTTCTCTCAGCAGGAGGGGGAGGGAGGGCGGATTTACCATGAAGACAAATCGAAGATGCAGAGCCCTGCTAGCAGTGAGTCTGAATCTGATGGCTCTCCTCTTCTCTACAACAGCTTTTATCACGACCCACTGGTGTGAGGGCACACAGAGGGTCCCCAAGCCGAGCTGTGGGAAAGAGAAGAAGACAAACTGCCTCAACTACGGCGGGAATGAGACTGCAAATGAGACGAACCAGAATGTGGTTCATTACAGCTGGGAGACGGGAGATGACCGCTTCCTTTTCAGGTATTTCCACACCGGGATCTGGTACTCCTGTGAGGAAAATATCAATGCTGCTGGTAAGTATAAAACAACTTCCTTGCAGCTTGTGTAGCTCTGTGTTTGCCTCAGTGCGATAAACACACAGGCTGTTCTGTGCTGTGTCTCAGAGCAGATTCGCCCTGCAGAGAGAGAGACAGGCAGGATTTTAACAGTTCTTTGTTGAAAAGCAACCTGTTTCCAGCGAGAGCAAGGATTTTGCTTGTTTACCTGCTGGCTGGTGCAGGGTCTGTACCCTCCAGCCCGCTGAGCCCCTGAGCATCTGTGTGTGCTCCCCTCACGGGCACTGCAGCCGGGGACTGGCCAGCGCTTCCCTTCCAGCTGCTCCATGGAGCGCACAGAAGGCAGCGCCCGGGAGTTCTTAAGGGGGTTCTGACATCTAATCGCCCCGAGGACAGTGGTCTGAATGGCAGCGAAAGCACAGAGGTCACAGTTTTTATCGCGCTGTAGCCTAGACTGCCTCTTTCCTGGTATCCCTGAAGGAGGTGACCACCCGCAAGCCCTCCCTGGACGGTGTGTTTATTGAAGTAGAGAAATGGCAGTTAAAGGGCACAACTGGGCACAAGAAAGCTTCTTTCTGTTCCCTGCTCAGCCGTTTTCTTACTGAGAACCACTCAAAAAGATATATCTCCAGCTTATCAGTGCATTTATTTGCTCTGCTGTACTCTGGCACTTACCAAGAAATAAAACACTGGAGGGTGGATGGCAGGCATGGGACCCATGTAAGTCTCAGCAGATGCAAACTGACAGTCCCTACACCCAGAGCCATTTGGTAGAGCAAACATCCAAACTCTGCTTCAGAAAGAGCTCTTTTCTAGATTATGTGACTGAAAAATAAAGTTTACAAATGGGACATAGTATGAGACAATGGATTGTGGATACTGGTTCCTTGCTGGGCTGTCCCCATCCTATCCTGCCATTGCCCAAGGAGTAGACTGGGGAGCTGGTCCTTCACCACTGCTGGGAGAGGGGAACAGTTAATATCCTACATCTCAGAGGACACAGCCTCTCTGGTGATGGGAAGTTTATGAGATCCTGGTAAAACTGCTCTGTAGGGATATACTACAAAGTGGGGCAAATTTGGGGAGGTGCTCACAGCCCACTCCATCCCACAGGGCTGGGTATTACATATTCTCCCTGGTATTTCTGAGGGTAGTGCTTCAAGAATTAGCTGGTCATTAAATCTCAATTTAATATAAGAAAAGGAAAGTTCATGAACTCCAGCCCTGAGTCTGTAAACAAACAGCTCCATGCTGAAATGAGGGCAGCAAAGCAACCCTCTTGATGTTAGAAAAACCCAAACAACCAAACAACACAAGCAAAGGATGATTTATCTTACTTATTTGGGAATCAACTTAGGCCACAGCAGCATGAGTGAGCAGCTTAAGACTCTCTGGCTTTTTGAGCATCTTAGCTGGGATTGGCACAATCAAGCATGCCCATACTTCTAGCAGATATTGAAATCTTTCCAAGTCAAGATGCATGTGTGAGATAAGTTGTAACTGTGTGACTCTAGCCCACTCAGAAAAGTGAGTTATCTGTGGGAGAAGAGAAATACAGTGATCTATTCTGTACTGGGTAAACAAAGCTGTGCTGGAGTGGGTGATTTCAGGAGAGAGCTGGAAGCCAGCTTTAGAAAGTTATGTTGAAAGCAGGAGAGAAGGGGTTGTTTCTCCCTCCCCACACCACCACAGCAGCCATATGTGTGTCTCCTCTTATTTGAAACACTAACTTGGAGGAAAGTACTCTTGAGTTAGAAGCCCAGGAGGGACAAACCTTAGCAAATAATCCAGACAGGCACAGGGATATATTGCCTTAGACAGACAGCTGCCTCATTCAGATTTACCACATTATTTTTCTGGTAAGAACAGGAACAATGTAATGGACACGAGTCTAAATTTGTCCCTAACAGCATCAACATAAAATAACTGACAGGTTTTCATTCAGAGTTACAGGTTTGTAATACCAGACTGTCAGGATGTTGTCATGGCCTTTTGCAGCCTGACTGGTGATCATTTTATCTGAGGCACCACCCAGCCCCAATCCAACAGCACAGTGGTCATGCTTGTATGTAGAGGCACCCCACTCAATACATCTGTCCATCTCATGGGCTCATCACACCATCCACAGCACCCTTATTGACCCCAGTGCTGCAGGTATCACAAGTTGTACAGTCACCAGGTGTGTATTAAATACTATTACTTATATTAAATAGTAGTGTATTTAATTAGCCAAAATCCCCAGCTTGAATGCACTGTACACTGTCAGTAGCATCTTTCTTAGAGCTTTACCCAAAGCAAACTGAGAGTGACGGCACCAGCAGCCTTCCTCCAGGCAAAGTCCTTTCAGCAGTCACTCACAGCCTCACACCTCTGTCAGCAGAACATATGGCCACAGTCTATGGTCAGCACCATTCCCACAGCTCCCATCCTATCCCTGGTTCCTCACTGACTCACTCATGTCTGTAGTTGAGCAACGTGAACCCCACCAGGCACACGTGAATGCCAGTAACTCTCCCTGTGATGGTGATGCTGTCAAAACTATCCAGAGCCTCCAAACTTTCCCAGCTGTGAGCCACGTTCTTCATCCAGCCACCAGGCTTTTGGTTTCTCTCTCCCTCCAGTCACACCATCAAAACTTTCTGCTTCCTGCACTGGCGCAGCTGCAACACAGCAGATCTTGTAGTGCCAACAACAACAGGAGCAGTTCCCAGCAGGTTGATGCTGCAGGAACTCCAGGAACAGGACTCCAGGGCTTCCAGTTGGCTGGAGGGGCTAGGACTCAGTCACACCTTAAAATGACATTTAAGCTGCAAGCAAACCAATTTTTGAGTGTCTTCTCCTTCCCCTTGTTTATCATCTGCAATGTGCATTTAGATTCCAGAGGCTGAGGTGCAAACAGCATGTCATCCACTTTGTGCAGAGCCCAGCGGAGCGTGCCTTCCTCTTGTTACCAGTTTCTAGTTTCCACTGACAGCTCTAACAGAGATTGAATGCTGTGATTATTTCTGAAATAATTTGTGAATCTAGAGCTTATTTTTACCCAGCATGTCTAGGACAGCTAAAGAATTCAAAAAGCATTTAGTACCTGAGAAATGTAATTGTGAATCTCCTCTGGGAATAGGGGACTGGAGCATTCATATTTCATTGGTGGGGGAGTCCTGTAATTATTTAGCACAATTTCTGACTCAAAGTATGCTGAATCCATGTCTACTGAAAAGAGGACAAGGCTTCCCCTTTCAGAGTGAGTTTAGTGCTTTGGATGCCACACAGATGGAGGTACCTTCTGTAGGAGAAACGCATCTAAGCTCGGAGCACATCCTACAAGCTCTGCTGGTCATGAGCCCTGTTCTGCCCTCACACGCTGCACCTGGGGCCTCCTCCTGGCTGTGAATTCCTTGGCCATGGCCAGATGTGTCAGAGCCAAGCTCACTATCATTTAATTTCTTTTTGAGTGTGACTTTGGGTGTGTATCTCACTGCACCCCTGCGGTCTGGGGCTGTGCTTGGGCAGGGCAGGGCACCTCACGGGATCCCAGACCAGTGATGTGCCAACAGCAGCAGTGCTGAACCAGTTGGTAGATTCCATGACTCAAGAACACACATGCCATGAAAAAATTACCTCATGAAGTAGGTAAGGTGGTATATGGTATCCTAGGAGGTAGAGGATTTGGAGAGCTGGGAAGCAATAACAAGTCAGATAGTTTTGCTCAATAATGTGTTTGCTATGGTGTTTGTAGAAAAAAAAACATGAACTCAGATCTTTATTTAGTTGCCAATGAACAGACAATCTCAGTATTAACACACACAACTAAGGGGGAAAGCAGCTGCCTAGTTGCCTTTCAAGAGCATTAATCATTAAACAAACAGCCTTTCCATCATGCTCTCATACTCCATAGCAGTCAGGAGAGCAGGAATGGGTATGTGTGGCTTGTTTTGTGGTTTTGGATTGATTTTTGAGGGCAAAGGAGCCTCTAGCTCTTTGTATGCTCTATGCCAAATATTCCTTAGCACTCTTGAAGGAGTAAATGGCAGATAATGGAATTTAGATGGTAGGTAAGGATGCATCAAAATGAGCCATAATTATGGACATTCAGTGCACCTTGAGAAGGAAGCAGAGAAGGAGAGAGGGTATCCTGCAGAAATGAGTAAATCTGTGACATATAAAGACCAGAACTCGCCATACCCTTTCGCAGCTCCAGAGGAGTTCTGCATCACCTGCTCCCCCAGCCCCCTGTGATAATAAGCATATCACAGTGATTCACTGCAGGTGGCTGTCCAGAGAGGGACCAGGAGAAGCACCTTGTGAGTGTATAATTAAAAGCAAGAGGAATTGGCAATTCTTGCTGGATTATGAGAAATACAATATAATTGGCATGACTGAAACCTGGCAGGTTTATTCGCATGACTGGAATGTAAAAATTGCTGGTTCTAAATTGTTAGGAAGGAAAGAGTGGTAAAAGGAATTGAGGAGGTAGAGCTCTATATTAAAGATAAAATTTCCAGCACTGGAGGAACTGAACCCAGGGGGCTTGGATAATCTCCATCTGAGGATGTTGAAATAATTGGTACATGAAAATGCAGGTTTAATCGAAAGATTCTGTACATCACTGTATTTAAAGAAGATTGGAAAAAAAGTGATACAGGCCACTTGACCCAGGAAACTTAGGACAGTTTTCAGGTAGAACACTTAGTGCATGGCAACAAATGGGTTTTATCAAAGGTAGGGCTTTATTGAAGGTAAATCTTTTAACAAGATGAATCACTTCTTAGACCCAGTCTCTGTGGATTTGCAAAAAAACGTTTGATGGAATGTCCCACTGAAAATTCTTTACAGGAGAGCTACAAAGAGTGGAGGGGATGGTAAGAACATGGTGATGGGTGCAGGGATGCTTCCACACCGGGGAGTGCTAAACTGCCTGAGCCACTTCAGGCTGGCAGGTACAGAGAGATTGTGATATTGGAGGGGATCAAGTGAGAATGGCAGAGATCAGGCAAGACATATCGTTGATGCTTCCGTGA